ATCCACCAGGGATGGGCACCCAGGTGGATTCTGTGTCTTTGCTATTGCGAACAGCATGGTGATGAACCTATGAGTGCACGTGTCTTTTTGGTAGAATAATTTATTTTCCTTTGGATATCTACTCAGTAATGGGATTGCTGGGTGGAATGGTAGCTCTGTTTTAAGTTCTTTGAGAAACCTCCAAACTGCCTTCCACAGTGGCTGAACTAATTTATATTCCCACCAACAGTATGTAAGTGTTCCCTTTTCTCCTAAGCCTCACCAGCATCTGTTGCATTTTGACTTTTTAATAATAGCCATTTTAAGTGGCGTGAGACGGCGTCTCACTGTAGTTTTGATTTGATGATTAATGATGATTAGTGATGATGAGTGTTTTTTCATGTTTTTTGGCCACTGGCAATGTCTTTTTTTGAGAAATGTCTGTTCATGTCTTTTGCTCCCTTTTTAAATGGGGTTATTTGGTTTTTGCTTGCTGAATTTTTTAAGTTCCTTACAGATTCTGGATTTAAACCTTTACCAGATACATACTTTGTGAACATTTTCTCCCATTCCGTAGGTTGTCTATTTACTCCCTTGATAGTTTATTTTGCTGTGCAGAAGCTCTTTAGCTTAATTAGGTCCCAGAATAGACAACCCAGCAATGAAGCTCCACACCTACAGCCATCTGGTCTTTGACAAAGCTGACAAAAATAAGCAATGGGGAAAGGACTCCCTATTCAATAAATGGTGCTGGGATAACTGGCCAGCCATGTGAGGAAAAACAAAACTGGACCTCTACCTTTTACTATATATAAAAATTAATTCAAGATGGATTAAAGATTTAAATGTTAAGACCTCAAAATGTAAGAATCCTAGAAGAAAACCTGTGAAACACCATTCTGGACGTTGGCCATGGGAAAGAATTTATGTTGGCTATTTCAATGTTATCTTTCGCCAAGTGTCTCTTAAGTCTCTTGTCCATTCATTTTTCTATTGGGCGGTCCATGTTTTGTTTATTTATTGTTATCTCAACTCTTCTATATTTTCTGAATACCCACATTTGTTACTTACATATGTTGCAAAAATCTTTTCCCACTCTGTGGTTTGCCTTTGTAATGTCTTAACATGTCTTTTGATAGCATAAGTTATTAACTTAGTCAATTTATCAAATATTTACTTTAAGGTTAGTCCTCTTTGTGTCCATTTTAAGGAAATCTTTCCCTATTCCAGGTCATGAAGATATTCTTCCATGTAATTGTTTAGCATCTTTATTGTTTTACCTTTTATATTTAGGTTTCATTCCTGTTGGTATTTATTTTTGGGTAAGGTATGCGGTAGGGCAGAAGATCCCAACCCCCTGGGTCACAGTACCAGACCATGGACCGTTAGGAACCCGCCGCACAGCAGAAAGTGAGCAGTGAGTGAGCATTATTAGTGCTTGAGCTCCACTTCCTGTCAGATCCGTGGTGGCATTAGGTTCTCATAGGCGCACGAACCCTATTGTGAACTGCACACGTGAGGGATCTAGGCTGTGTGCTCCTTATAAGGATCTAATTGATCTAAGGTGGAACAGTTTCATCCTGAAACTCTCTCTCCCCAGCCTAGTCTGTGAAAAAACTGTCTTCCATGAAACCAGTCTCTGGTGCCAAAAAGGTTGGGGGCCGCTGAGGGAATCTGTTTCATTTTTTTCTGATCGATATTAAATAAAGGGCTTTTAAAACTATTTATTTCAGGCTGGGCACAGTGGGTCAGGCCCGTTCCCAGCACTTAGGGAGGCTGAAGAGGGCAGATCACTTGAGGTCAGGAGTTCGAGACCAGCCTGGCTGACATGGTGAAACCCGTTTATACTATAAATACAGAAATTAGTTGGGAGTGGTGGCACATGCCTGTAATCCCAACTACTTGGGAGGCTGAGGCACGAGAATTACTTGAACCCAGGAGACAGAGGGTGCAGTGAGCCGAGATCGTACCACTGCACTCTAGCCTGGACAACAGAATGAGACTCTATCTCAAAAAATTAAGACAAAAAAACCAAACTTTATGTCAATGACTTTTAACTTTTACTATGCAATGTTTAATCTTTTAATTTATATTATATTTAAAGAGCTTGCTAAATAAGTAAATTTTATTATTCCATCCTTTTGCTACTAGAGTAACCATTATATCTGAACTAATAAAGCTTAAACTAACATACTTGTACTAACTAGAAATTACTGTCATAATTTTTGTATGTAAATTATATAATCTGTCTTTTAGGAAGCTATTTCAGCTTGGGTTCTTTGCCGAGTAAAGTCCACCGTCATTAATTGTTCGGTGCTATCTCAGTTACGATCATATGACCAATGGACTTGATATTTTCTGGTACTATGTGTATGACCTAATTTTCATGTTTTCCTATTCAAAGATTCCTTGTTTGAAATTATAAAGCCAGAGATCTTATCACAGCATCTAAGCATACAAAATTAGGAAAAGTAATGATTTTAAAAAAACACATATGTCAAAATTTTAAAAAGCATCTCGTAACTTAAAAAAATAAAGGGAGGTTGGGCGCGGTGGCTCACACCTGTAATCCCAGCATTTTGGGAGGCTGAGGCTGGTGGATCACCTGAGGTCAGGAGTTTGAGACCAGCCTGGCCAACATGGTGAAACCTCATCTCTACTAAAAATACAAAAATTAGCTGGGTGTGGTGGCAGGCACCTGTAATCCCAGCTACTCAGGAGGTTGAGGCAGGAGAATTGCTTGAACCCGGGAGATGGAGGTTGCAGTGAGCTGAGATCGCGCCACTGCACTCCAGCCTGGGTGACAGAATGAGATTCCATCTCAAAAATAACAATAATAAATAAAAACAAAATAAAATAAAATAAAGGGGCCTCATATTTGCCCCATGCTGCTAATGATTTTCTCTTATAAATCTCCAATCAAGTCCAGTTCTAACAACCTTGAATATGAATCAGTATCAGTTGAGTGTAAGCTTCCCTTTAGGGATGGCCTATTAGGCCCCTTAGGTATGACTATTGGCTACTTCCCTGCCTTTAGGAGAGAGTATAGGCCTCCCTTTAAACACTCCCTCCTGAAGGGAGGGAAATAGCCAATAGTCATACCTAAGGCTAGGTATGATTCTAAATGCCTTGATACAATTAGGTCATGAAGGTATCTTCCTTACTTAGGTCCTTTATGGACGTGGTACCTTAAAGTTTTCCTAGTACTTTAAATTTCTGTTTTTTATCCTGGTAAGACTATTACCAAACACAAGGATTTGTCTTATTTACTGCTGTGTAACCCACACCATAACTGCTAGTGTCTGTTATGTAATATGCTCAAAAGAATGTGTGTTCAGCAAATGAACGTAGGAACTTAGGGACTACGTAATACAATCATATTCAGAGCTTAAGTGGCACAAATATCCCTGTAACCTCAGAAAAATGAAAGCACCCCTGGTCTGGATTCTGTGGGAGGCTCTTGGAATGGAAGAAGCTAAAATCCAAGCTTAAAGGGTTAGCTTATATTGAACTAGACTCAGACCACAGCAAGCTTAAACACACACACACACACACACACACACACCCCTATTTAATTTTCTTTTATGTTAGCTGGGAATTAATAAGAGGGCTTCTGTAGTTCAGCAAAGTAAGATAAATGGTTTTGGGAAACCTAGCATAGGAAAATGGGAAATAACATGATTCATTAGTGTCCCTGTGTCATTAAGGGCTCCCTGGTAGTTATCAGTTTCCTTCTCAATGCACATTTTGCAGAAAGCCAAACAGATGAAAGTTTGGGTGCATTCTTAACCACAATGCTAAGGTAAGAGAAATACTGGTGTTAGCATTTCACAATTTTATTCAAAACAGAGAACAAGCTTCTGTGTGAACACACATATTAAAGAATAATATGGTTTCTCAAGTAAAACGTAAATATTTTTTGCTACTTACAAGAGTCCTTTTCTCTACAGAGATAAGTGGAGACTACACAGATAATGAGCTATTTGGGGGGAGTTCATTCTAATCGTTTCATGACCAAGGCAAATAATACAAGCTTAGTTTAAATCATTAAATACTTATAGAATACCTTAAATATAGGAAGGGTATAAAATACATGGGGAAGTGAATAAGCTTTTACTGTTTTAATTATTTTGACTTTGCTGGTATAAAGTAAGTGCATCTGGAAAGAGGATCAGCTCTTTATTTTGTAGCTGAATTTCTGGGACACAAAAGCACAGATGGCCTTTCCAACTCCACACTGCAGTAGACATCTGCTGTTGTTTTTGCCTTCCCAGCACTTTTTCCTCCTTCCTTTGGTAGTAACAGTCTCATTTTCCATTAGGAAGCACTCCTTTACCAGTTTAGCCCATGTGGTACAAGGGGTAGTGGCCCTCATCCAATCAAACCCATCCCCTGGAAGGGCAAATCTGGGCATATGACCCAGACTTGGCCAGTTAGAACATCGCAGCCTCAGAGACACAGGTACTGGTTCGGAAACGGGCAAGAGGCCCAAGCCAGCCCGTGAGACATACTCTCCAACTTCTTAACAACACTCTTCGGAAAATGGTAGTTTGTTTCTTATGGGGGACACATGGGGCTGATAAAATGTGAGCCTGAAATAATTCATGGCTGTCTTTGTTACCCTATGGACAGAACCTTTGAGAACAAAACCAGCGGAGGAAAACCAAGCCCAAAAGATGAAGAAAGTCATAATTGTAATCACTGATGCACCTAAGTCCAGTCATGGCAGAAAGAAGACCCACCCCGGACTTTTCAGTTCTATAAGCCAAAAATTTCCTCTTTTTTGCTTAAACCCGTTTGAGGCAGGATTCTGAGATCTGTAACTGAAAGAGTACTGACCAACAGCAGCCTGACTTGACTTCACATAAGCTGAGACTGAAACCCTCTGTAATTTCTGAGAACTGTCTTGACTAAAATAAGAAACCTTTGTCTCTTACCTCACTGTTTCGTCTCTGAAATGAATGTAGGTATGTCTACAATATCATTATTTTACAAAGTAGGAAATCAGGCCCAATACTCACTGGTCCACTTCCGGCAGTGAGGTTCTGGAGAGCTCCTAAGGATGCTTCCTGTGTGTAGTTGCGGACACTCTTGGCGATCAGTGACAGATACATCCTTATCACGATGGAATGCCACAGCCACTCCACACCCTTGGGGTTGCTCTTTTCCTCTGGCATCGGCATGTCCTGGTATTGCTGACCACACACAAAAGGAATCCAGAATTAATGCATGTCAGGTGATGTGTACAATTTCACACTCAAACCAGGAGACCAGAAATACTGTCTAGAAAGGCTCATAATTTGCATAAGCCCTTGAAATAGAAATTTTAAAAGCAAATACATACAATTTCTAATCACTTAACTTTTAGCCCATGATGATTATTTCTTCCTAGTAACACCCCACACCCCTAACTTGATATTTCTCCCAGTGAGAGAAAATTCAGAGAATTAAGCATAGGCCATTCTAGAATGGTTTTCAGGCTGCTGTTGAGCTAAAAGCTAAATTAGTCACAACCACCCTGCAGATAAGAAAAACAGGCCTGTTCCCTCAGTCTTGTGAAAGTGTCCAGGATAGCACCAGGGTTCTAAATTTACCAGCTGATCTCCACAAATACCATGATACTCAGAGAAGGAGGGGAGGTTACATTCTTTTAGTTTTCATATCAGTATGGAAATAAATATGTATTCCTTCCTATGAGGTTTGCTTTTAGTATGTCCAAAGTTTGTTTTCAGAATGCCCAAAGCCAAATATCAGGGCTGACTTTAATAAAAACAATTTATATACAATTAGCTATGCTGCATTAAGCTTCTTTCCTAACCTGTAAAGCATAAAGCAGTATGGTTCATGGGTAGCAATGAAAATCTGGAGCCAGGCTGCCTGGGATTGTATTCAATCTCTTCTACTTACTTGCTGAATTATTCCGGGAAAATTAATCTTACTGTGTCTCTGTTTCCTCACTGGTAAATGAGGGTATTAATAATACACACCTCAAAAGGTTGATGTAAGAATTACAATAACTTAAAATAGTGCCAAGACATACCAAGTACTTAGACATACACATATACACAAACACAGAATCTCTCTCATTATCTCCCTCTCTTTCTCATTCTTTCAAAAACTTCCCAATATACCTCTTTTACTTTCCTGCTTCGACTGCCAAAACACCCAATACTTTTGTTGTTGTCAGTCTGGATATTCCGGTTTTGAATATAGATATTCTGGGAATATTTCTCTGGGAGCTCTGCCTCCAGCTGGTAGGAGAGGTTATGAAGAATGCATACACAATTCTCTGTGGCCTGAGGAAACAGGACAAGAATATTGATCGTATACATATAGACATCCTTGCAGGTGTGATATCACAGGACGCAGGCTTTAGCTCTTACAAGGTTTACCAGATGCAACTGGGTGTGCTTAAACTGCGGGATGCCTGGGGGAATCGCAATGAGTATGTCTAGAAAAGCTAATGTTATCATGAATAGTCAGGAGTGCGATGCTAAGAAGTAGAGGCTAAATTTCTTAAACAATGGAGAGTCTTTTTAGTTTACTTTCTAAAGAGTGTGTCCAGAACAACTCCATAGTTTAGATACGTAACTTACTAGCTATGCTGAGTTGGAGAAGAGGAGGAGATACTGTTTATAGGGACCACCTAGGAGGCTATTGCAATAATTGGAATGAAAGATGCAAATGTAGGAAGACAGTACAAGCATCACAGGGAAGTGGAAGAACCGAAAGCCTTTTCAGAGGTAGAAAGCACATGATCACTCAGATTTCCATCTTCTTTTGGTGGATGGTGATGATTATTAAGAAGGATTATAGGCCGGGTGCTGTGGCTCACGCCTTTACAGAGCACTTTGGGAGGCCGAAGCGATGGATCACCTGAGGTCAGCAGTTCAAGACTAGGCTGGCCAGCATGGCGAAACTCTGTCTCTACTAAAAATA